GCGCACACTCGACCCCTCCCCCCTCAGGATTGCCTCCTCACAGAGTGTGTGCCTGATCAGCTGCCTCATGGCTGGCGTCATGAACCGAATCCTTTCCAGGCAGCCCTTTTCACCCGCGTAGCTGGCGGAGTCCATGTCGAAGACGGCTCGGTTGGAAGCCAAAGCTTGCTTCAGCACCTGGACTAAAGTCAAAGGCTCGGTGTCAGCACAATCCGTGTCCTTCGGCCCAAGCACGGCCTCCATGTCCACAGGTGCCTCGCTCTCCAATGGCCTGGGCTCCTCAGCGACACCCTGCTCCTCCTTTCGCAGCATGTCCTGCAGCTCTTCGTGAGCACAGGCTCTGTACTTTGTCACCCCCGCTATGAAGACCGTATATAAGGGGGGACCATCTTGGAATCTTGGTTGTGGCATGCACTATCTGTCATCAGAATCTATTTTGGGTTGCTGCATCATCTTGTTTGGGGTTGAACACCCATCAACTGTCATCATATTGTCGGGTCACCCACCATTTACGTAGTGGTAGGATATGTGCCTTTTTTTTGCGAGCCCGTCATCAACTTTTGGAAATAAACAATCTGATTGTCCATCATGCAACCACGGAAAACGAGTGTTTCGATCGAAACACACAAACCTTGGAAGGGACGAAGAGGGCCATGCCCAAACATTTCAATCCCATGGCCCGAATGAACCTGCATGTTTCTGCGCGTGTCGATTTGGCGGCTTACATGTCAATAAACTCGTGCGCGAATATTTCAATAGCAGTCCCGTGGTAAAGCTCGGTTTTCGGGAGAGTCTCTCAAAGTCTGGGACACTCATCATTCCTTCTGCCCGGATTGGATCATATGCTATCTGAGCGACCGGGTCTGCCATCCGCCACTTAGAATTAAGGTATGCGCGGTTTTGGGTGCCTGTGATCATTTCTGGGACTTATACATTCTGATGATCCCTTTCATAAAATTTACAAAGAAAAGAATGCTCCGGTCGAACACACAAAACCTGGAAAGTGTGAAAAATGTCCATCCAAAACCTTTCACCCCATGGCCCAATGAATCAATGAAATTGCCCGCTTCTCTATATGGTTCCGTGTCGCGTGTCGGTAGCCCCCCTCCAACGGTATCCCCCTGTGATATGCACCCGAAAACCTCGCGAGGGTCGTCACTTGTGTCTCAACAGTGCCAACAGTCACGGGGATGGGCCCCCCGAAACCGGGATACTCGTGAGTGTTGTGACTTCTGAAGCTATGCAACTTCGTGGCGTGTCCCAAGTGGCGACACTCACCTGGATGGGCTATGGTTTCGGTCTGTGCCGCGCCCAAATGCGTACCCTCAACCCTAAACCATTACATATCTGTACACCTAGACCCTAAACAACCCCACCACACACAGCACAGGGGGTTGCGAGCGCAAACCCTAAACCCTAAACCCAACACCCACCACCACACCAGAGGGAGGGGGGAAGGGGGTTAAACACTAAATCTCAGAACCACAACCCACAACCCACCACCACACCACAGGGGGGGAGAGGGCGGGGTTAATAACCCAAAACCCACCACCACACCACAGGGGGTTAGCTGAAACCCACCCACAACCCACCACCACAACACACCACACCACAGGGGGCGGTAGGGGGGGATACCATGGGGTGGCAGGGGGAGGCGGGTCGGGCGACGTTGCACCATATATTTGGTGGCTTGCCTGTATAAGTATATCTGCGGGCGGATATATCATCATAGCCTATGTTTCTCTGCACAATGTATGAAATCGAAAATACAATGTAACGAAAGTATACATGTGCATATAAGCCAGCATGAAGCAATTGTATACATGTATCAAAATTCATGACTATGAGTGCATCTGAATATACAGGCAGTTCATGTGAAGATATACCAAAGACAGGCATGCGCATGTCACCCATGTACGTGTACATATATGCATATGTGTATGTATATGTGTATGTATATGTGTATGTATATGTGTATGTATATGTGTATGTATATGTGTATGTATATGTGTATGTATATGTGTATGTATACGTATATGCAGACGTGGAAGTACATGTGTATGTATATGTACATTTACATGTGTATATATATATATATATGTGTGTGTGTGTGAATGCATCTGTATACGTACATGAACACATGTGTCAATATATATATATATATATATATAAACAAACAGATAGCACCCCCCTCCCCGTTGG